TATATATATATATTCTATAAATCCAAACATTTCGTGTATATACATATATATTAAGAATTTAAAGAAAATATATATTAAAATAAAAAATATAAACATGATAAAAATCAAACAATTATAAATTAAATGTTCAAATATTTTTAAAAAAACAAGAAAAGTTCTAAAGCTCTCTAAATATATAAAAGTACGGTAGAATTTTTACATCAATTATTTACATAATAATCTAAAATTCTGTAAAAAAATTTTTTTACATTTATTCTATATCTATTATCCATAAGCTTGATTAATTTAAAAAAATTCAATTTCTATTTTTTCATTTTCTATATGTTTCCATTTGTTCTATTTTCTTGCATCTAATTATTTTCTTCTTCAATTATTTTTAATTGTTTTAATAAATATTATTTTTTTTTCATATTTCATTTTATTTCTTCAATGTACATGTTCACCTTTTATCCGTTCTCTAAGTTACATGCATTAATAATTTTGTAGCTTCATGTAAAATTTATTATTTTATTACAAATTTTTAATAGTTTTTTTTATTAATTCTTTCAATTCTTTTTGTTACACACTTATTATTTTATCATCTTCAAAATCTTTTTCAAATTGGGAAAGAATTTCTTTTATTTTATCATCTTCATCTATTTTTGTTTTCTGTTTATCATAATGTTTCTCTTATATTATATATCTCCTTTTGAATTTTTTTATATATTGTATTCTAAATATAATTTGCAATTTTATTAGTATTTTATATTATTAAAATTGATATATTTCATTATTCTAATTCTTTAAATTTTATTTCAATTTCTTTTGATAATTCTATATATTTTTATTATTTTATTTGGAAGGGTACCGGAGCCCATATTTTTCTATAGTTAAGCGTATAATTTTCCTAGTTTGTTTCAACTAAAGTTGAATATGACAAAAAAAAATTCTAATTTAAATTAGACTCTTTTAGTTCAATTTGTTAACTCGAATAATAGGAAAGAGAGAATTTTTTATAAATTTTATATATTTCAAAATTTTCATTTATTAATAGATTATAATTAAAATGATTGTTTAAGTTTTTTTTTTTGAAAGATAAGACAAAATTTATTCCGTTAACTTTACACTAACAAAACTATATTGTATAATCCTAAAAAAAATATATATATAATTATAACCAAAATTTTTCATAAATAAAAATTAGTTTACCTTACACAAAATAATAAAAAGTTTAATTTATAATTTTTTCAAAGTTAGGTTTTAGTAAAAAAAAAATTGTCTTATTTTAGTTCTTCTACTTTAGATACATCATTTTTTATTTTTAAAATTATTTATATAATATTTTATAATAAACGATAATATAGAAGTAAATTAATGAAAAATATAATACACATTTTATTTGATAATATATTTTTAATGTAATAAAATATGTCATTTTTTAATTAAAGATTTAAACATCATTTGAACTCTAAAGTTCTTTTAGAAATTTTTAATTAGATCATTAAAGTAAAAATAAATTTGTAATCGAGTCTTTTCAACTTTTTATATTTTTATAATTTAATCCATTAGATTATAAATTTATTTACAAATTGTGAAATATGACATAATATTCTCTATATCATACATATACAGTCATATCATATTAATATTCCAAGTATCATTTATGTGTATCAAGTTTTAATCTACTTGTGAAAAATATTATAATCTTTTTAATCATAAGAATTTTAGAATAATAGAATTTTTTAACGAATAAGAATTAAAATTTAATACACATGGATGATGAAATAAAATAGTAATATAATATAGTAGTTCAAACATGAGGATATAATAAATATTCTTTTAAATTTCACGAATAATAAATAAA